GAGGTATCTAGCTCACTCATAAGCCTCTTCACTTCTTCCTCGGTTGTGTGCACTGTGTCCAGCACTTGGTGATGTGCCTCACCTCTCCGTCTTTCTGGAGCCCCTTCTGTCTCCTCTGTGAACACTTCTTTGAATCTCTTGTTGAGTTCCTCACATACTTCACGGTCATTTCTTGTTGTCTCTCCTCCTTTCTTCCTTAGCTTGATTACCTGGTCCTTGACTGTTGTTTTCCTCCTGATGTGGCTGTATAACAGTTTCGGGTCAGATTTGGCTTTCGCTGCTAAGTCCTTTTCATATTGTCTTTGGGCCTCCCTTCTTATCTGTGCACATTCGTTTCTGGCTCTACGACTGCTCTCCTTATTCTCCTGGGTCCTTTGCCTTCTATATTTCTTCCATTCCATAGCACACTTGGTTTTTGCCTCCCTGCACCTTTGGGTGAACCATGGGCTCATCCTGGCTTTTTCATTATTCCTGTTACCCTTGGATACAAACCTCTCCTCAGCCTCCTTGCATATTGTTGCTACATATTCCATCATCTCATTAACTGGCTTCCCTGCCAGTTCTCTGTCCCAGTGAACCTCGTTCAGGAAGTTCCTCATTCCCGTGTAGCCCCTTTTCTTGAAGTTTGGCTTCATTCGTCTTGGCCTTCCTGCTTCTCCCTCCACTTGTAGCTCTACTGTGTATTCGAAGCTTAAAACCACATGATCGTTGGCCCCCAAGGGGTCTTTCATATGTGATGTTCTCGATATCTGCACTACTCAAGGTGAATACTAAGTCCAGTCTTGCTGGTTCATCCTCTCCTCTCTCTCTTGTAGTGTCCCTTACGTGTTGGTACATGAAGTTTTCCAGTACCACCTCCATCATCTTAGCCCTCCACGTATCTTGGCCTCCATGTGGCTCCAAGTTCTCCCAAACTATCTCCTTGTGGTTAAGTCACCCATGATCAGGAGCTTTGCCCTGCATGCATGAGCTCTTCTGGTGTGTGTGTGTGCGTGTGTGTATGTGTGTGTGTGTGTGTGTGTGTGTGTGTGTGTGTGTGTGTGTGTGTGTGTGTGTGTGTGTGTGTGTGTGTGTGTGTGTGTGTGTGTATGGGTGTGTGTGTGTGTGTGTGTGTGTGTGTGTGTGTGTGTGTGTTTGTGTGTGTGTGTGTGTGTGTGTATGCGTGTGTGTGTGGGGTGTGTGTGTGTGTGTGTGTGTGTGTGTGTGTGTGTGTGTGTGTGTGTGTGTACTCAGCTAGTTGTGGTTGCAGGGATCGAGTCGCAGCTCCTGGCACCGACTCTTCACTGGTCGCTACTAGGTCACTCTTCCTGCTCCATGAGCTTTATCATACCTCTTCTTAAAGCTATGTATGGATCCAGCCTCCACTGCATCACTTCCCAGACTAATCCACTTATGGACAACTCTGTGACTGAAGAAATACTTCCTAACATCCCTGTGATTCATCTGAGTCTTCAACTTCCAACCGTGACCCCTTGTTGCTGTGTCCCATCTCCGGAGCATCCTGTTTCTGTCCACCTTGTCCTTTCCTCTCAGTTATCATATCCCCCCTATCTCTCCTGTCTTCCAGTGTCGTCAGGTCGATTTACCTTAACCTCTCCTCGTAGCTTCGGGACTAGTCTTGTTGCAAACCTTTGCACTTTCTCTAGTTTCGTTATGTGCTTGGCTTGGGTTCCAAACTGGTGCTGCATACTCCAATATGGGCCTAACGTACCCATATGCTCTAGCAGTTATTTGGTTGATGTGCGCCTCAGGAGGTGTGCCCGGTGTTATACTCGCCCCAAGATCCTTTTTCTTGAGTGAGGTTTGTAGTCTCTAGCCCCCCTAGTCTGTACTCCGTCTGCGATCTTCTTTGCCCTTCGCCAATCTTCATGACTTTGCACATTGTGGGGTTGATCTCCAGGAGCCATTTTCTGGACCATGCCTGCAGATTGTCCAGATCCCTTTGTAGTTCTGCCTGGTCCTCATCCAATTGAATTCTTCTCATCAATTTCACATCATCTGCAAACAGGGACACTTCGGAGACTATTCCTTCCGTCATGTGGTTCACAAATACCAGAAACAGCACTGGTCCTAAGACTGACCCCTGTGGCACCCCGCTCGTTACAGCCTCCCACTCTGATACCTCACCACGTACCATGACTCGCTGTTGTCTTCCTGACAGGTATTCCCTTATCCATTGTACTGTACTAGGTAAGTACAACTAGGTGAGTACAACTAAGAGAGTACAACTAGGAGAGAGCAACTAGGTGAGTACAACTTGGTGAGTACAACTAGGAGAGTACAACTATGAGAGTACAACTAGGTGACTACAACTAGGAGAGTACAAATAGGAGAGTACAACTAGGAAAGTACAACTATGAAAGTACAACCAGGAGAGTACAACTAGGAGAGTACAACTAGGTGAGTACAACTAGGTGAATACAACTAGGAGAGTACAACTAGGAGAGTACAACTAGGAGAGTACAACTAGGTGAATACAACTAGGAGAGTACAACTATGA